TAAGCATAACACCATAAACTCAAAATAAATAGATGAAAGAACACATACCAGCCACAACATCTGGCGCTGCGCTGACCTCCTCCGCTGTCAACTGGAAGGCTCTCCCGCGAGCCTTTGGCGCCTCGGCCTTCACTGGCCGACTCTCTGCAGCTCGAACGGTAGCAGGGGCAGATCCCTGCGATGCTCCCTGGGCTGACCCCCGCAACTGCGGACACTCGGCCTTCCGGTGTCCGGTCTGGTTGCAGTGAAAACAGACTGCAAACCCCTTGGGGCAATCCTTGGCCATGTGCCCCTCCTTGCCACACTTGTAGCAAGACCCTGCTCTGCAAACCCCCTCATGACCCTTGCCGCACTTGCCACAAGTGCGGCTCTTCTGGTTCCCTGAACTCGAATCGGCGGGCTTGGCCCGCTTGGCTGCCGGCTGGGACTGTGCCGGTCACCGATCCCTCCCCTGAGACTCCGCCTCCTCCCTGGCCTGAGTCTCAAGCTCAATCTCCCTCTTCCGGGCATTTGCCTAAAGCTCGACAAATGTCCGGTACGACGAGTTCGCCACGAACTCATGGATGTCTCTCCTCAAAATGCTCAAATACCGACTCATGCGTGCCTGCTCGGAAGACACGTGCTCAGGGCAAAACACCGCCCTCTCATGGAACATCCTGGTGATCACTGTAACAGACTCGGTACCCTGCTTGAGGGTCAAGAACTCCTGGGCCAAACGTTCCCTTTCCACCGGGGGAACGTACTCATCACGAAACATAGCGGTGAACCTCTCCCAGGTCACCGCGGCAAGCTCTGTAGAAGAGTAGTGCGCTGTCACAAACTTCCACCAGTCCTTCGCTCCCAAGCGAAGCTGGTTCAGCGCGAACCGAACTCTCAGATGCTCCGGACAAGAACACGTATAAAAGCATCCCTCAATATCAGAAATCCATCTCATCGCAGCGATCGGATCCTGCGTCCCATCAAACTCTGGTGGCTTCGTGTTGCTGAACTCTCGGTACAGCAACGAGTCACCCCCCTGTGGTCTCGCAGCAGCGACGACTGCGGTGGCTGCAGCAACAGCAGCATCAGTAAGAGCAGCGTAACGCTCGTCAAAAGTCTCGATCAGGGTGGTCTTGATAGACCCAAACATCTCTGGTATCTCGGCTCGGATGGCAGCAACCACCTCCTCATGAATCAAACTACGGATCTCCTCATCACTGGTACCACTGCCTCCTGGGTGGTGGCGCGTCCCAACCATGATGTCTCTGAAATACAACACAAAAGGAATCAGAGACTCGCTCGATTATACTCGCACTCGATACCCAACCCTACTTGCTCTTTAGTACCCTAAGGATTCTTACTTGGACTGCTCACCGATCCGGTGTTTCCAGTAGTACGGGCCCTTATACTACCTTCCACAGCGCATCAGTATTCACTCCAAGTCCTCCTCCTAGGATCCCAGATCACAAGTACTCTATATCTCACTAAACTCTGGCTACTCTCCGGTAGACCACTCATAAGCTCCTCGCTGCTACCTACTTACTCTCGAAGTATCTCATAGTAGCAATAACTCCTAGGCTAAGGCATCACAAATCAAGCCCACTCTAGTCCTAACCATGAATACCTAGCCTACTCTAGCATGCATAACATACCACATAATATCTCATAACACATAATGTAAGGGTATTTTGGGAAATCACCGTTCGGGCGCTGGCTGATCGTACACATTGCTCTGCTTTTCTCTTTTCAAAACCTTTTTTACTCTTTTAGAAAAAATTTGTTTTATTTCGAAAAATTCCTCAAATCCTCAGTTTGAGTTCAAATGCGCTCGAAGGTGCATCCGAATCCCTCAAACCAAGGCTCTGATACCAACTTGTAACACCGTAATTTTTCAAACAATTTTTCACATTTTTAAAAGCATACTTTCATTCATAGATATTATAAAAATCTCATTGTATCACATATCAATCCATAGAAACACATCCCAAGATCATAATGTATAAAAACTCCTCATGTGTGTACTGATCATGTCGGCGCCTTCCCGCGATCCTCACTGGTACCTGAAACACATAACACAACACTGTAAGCATAAATGCTTAGTGAGTTCCCCAAAATACCACATATAACACGTATAAGCCACTCGAGGCTATAACTCTGTGGGCCCACTGGCCCTAACTCTGTGGACCCTCTGGTCCTAACTCTGTGGACCCTCCGGTCCTAACTCTGTAATCTCTGGAACATACACGGCATGAATCTCATAGAAAAAAATGCAGTGTATCACAATCACATAAATAGCATACAAGATACTCTGTCACATAACTCTAATTACCACTCTAGGTAAAGTATAGTGAGAAGACTCACCTCGAGTAACTCGGTAATTCTCGAACTCGGTAAAATCTGGCCTAGCCCCCGCCTAATCACATGGAATAAGCACTCTAATCAATACAACCCTCAAGGCTAGACTAATCCCTCTCTTAGTACTCTCAGAAGGGTAAAATACCATTTTACCCCTCTCATGGCTCAAAGACCCTAACATTGACCAAACCCTAAAAGTCAACAAAAGTCAATGGTCAAACTTTGACCAGACTCGCCGAGTGCACTAGAGTGACTCGGCGAGTACATGCCTGTCCTCTTCGCCCTGGTCCTCACTTGACTCGCTGAGTCAACCCTATACTCCACGGGTCGTCACAGGTCGCGAGTCATGGGGCAACCTGACTCGACTCATCGAGTCCCTTATGGGCTCGGCGAGTTCCTCCCATGAAAACTCTCAAAAGATCTTTTGAGGTCAGATCTGCTTCACCAACCAGTAGATCCAACCTTCTAACACTCGAAAGTCACGTAAAGGTTCAAACTTTACGTTCATGCAATGCTTATAAGACCAAAAATGGAGAAATAACCTTTTAAATGGGGTTTTACTCTCAAGGCTCACATGAAAGCTCATAAAGCTGGAAGCTTGGGACCTTTTGGACCTCTCAAGGTCCAGATCTATCATCTATACCCAAAGGGACCTCATATGCTTCACAATCTAACTCAAAATTGTGCAAGGAAACCCTAGATTCAAGGAATCTATCAAATACACGAAATGGGAATGAACTTGTACCTCAAAACGTGAATCTCAGTGTGAACAACAAAGATCCAAGCTCCACAATCAGCCTAGCTTGTTCTACCTCCTTCCTTCTTGCTAAAACACACAAGAAATGGTGAGTTAGCCTTCCTCTTGCACCACAAACGATCTCTATGCTCTCTAGGGTTTCTCAGGGGTGAAGTGGCCGCAAATGGAGACCATAAAGGCCTTTAAATAGGGCTCAAGCCCTGAGATTTAGGGTTTCACTTTACAGCGCGGACTCGCCGAGTCCACGCATCGATTCGTCGAGTCCCTCATTAATCCATACAAGAATTTGCGATCCTACTCGGCGAGTCTGAGCGCCTACTCGCCGAGTCCCTCTCTAAAACTCAAGGTAAATACTTAAAATAAGATACTTGGGAATTCGGATGTTACACCACCGAAGACGGGGGTGGTATTCACACGCGGAGACCCCCCCCCCTTCGTAAGCATCTCATGTGTGGAGACCTCTCCGAGTAGCCTAACTAACAAAATAACATTTAAAAAGTGACAAAGTCATAGTGTTGAGAACCGTCAGATTAGATTAGGGGAAAAGCATTAAGAACCATTAGATCAATTTGTAGTTGACCCGATAATCAATTCAATACTTATAAATTGACTATATCGTCCTCTTCACCACCGAAGAGGATAATCAGCCAAATCACATTGAGGGCTGAATAAGCATACGATTCACTTTTAAAAGTAGTGTGATCCTGGTGGAAAAAGTACACAAGTGAGAGCGATGATGATGACTTTATATCGGGTTTTTCTTATATTTTGTACAAAATTTTTCACGTAGTTTAACTTCCTCTTCGATTCTGTACAAGAATGTTCGAGGTTTCGAAATGGGTTTAAGAGTCCGAGGGAGGGGTTTCGAGGGGAGGAAGACCACCTATTGATGATGATGAAGAGGAAGACCGATGTTCACGGACATCGTATTGTTATGGAAATAATATAAAAAAGCAGCACTTGCGGATAAGGTAGCTAACTACCCTTTGAATTCTATTTTTCAATTTCTCACAGGGGTTTGAGAGCTGAATGGAAGACCATATGTGGAGAGAGAAGCTGGGGGACAAAATATTTGATGATTTTTTTGTTAATTTAGCATATTGAATCTTTGATTATTTGTTAAAATTTCATTCCAGTTTTGTAGGAACCACCATCGTTTGTGATTCTTTGTTCTCGGTCTCACGTCAATTTGGTTTTTTGAGTTCTTAGTTTGATTCACAAAAACCAGATCTTGTTTCTGTCTTGAACTTTTTCATCAGTTTGAATTCAACCCACAGAAAGTCAGAAACCTAATATCAATTTTTGGATACTGCACCAACGGCACCCCCTTCTAATCTGGGTTTCGAACAAAAACAAAATCATACAAAGAAGATGAATTAACATAACAATACAAATAATAAAAATATAAGATAAAGGCACTATAGTCAATTCATAACGCTTTAACTGATTCTTGGTGACCTTAGTAAATGAAAGAATCAAAACTAGAATTGCACCTTTAAATAAGGACGATACATAGAAAAAGATTCTTTTGAGGACCAAAACAAATGAAAATGACAAGCCACATACACTATTTTTGCAGTTTACTCTATATTCTATCTCAACATATCATCAATGTGAATTCATGAATTTCCTTTATATTGAAATTGTCAAATGTCTAGTGATAGATATTTCTTGAGCTTTCAGCTGGAAATTTCTTGGAAACTCGCATTTCTTTTCTCTCTCTTTCTCTCTCTCTCTCTCTCTCTCTCTCTCTATATATATATATATATATATATATATATAGATATATATATATATATATATATATATATATATATATATATATATATATATATATATATATATATATAGTTCATTTCATTGAGGTGCTAAAACCACTTACATTCTATCTCAACAAATCAACGCATCGATGGCATCTTCATCATCTTCTCCTCCAGTCGTGGCCTTTTCTTCTCGATTATGGAAGTACCATGTTTTTCTTAGCTTTAGAGGCGAAGATACTCGTAAGACTTTTGTAGATCATCTCTACACAGCTCTTGTACAACAAGGGATCCACACTTACAAGGATGATGAAACACTTCCTCGGGGAGAAACAATCGCCCCATCCCTTATGAAGGCTATCGAAGAATCACAGATAGCTGTTATTGTATTCTCTAAAAATTATGCAAATTCTTCATGGTGCTTAGATGAACTTGCATATATTATGAAATGCAAGGATACGAAAGGCCAAACCGTGATGCCTACATTTTATGACGTGCAGCCCTCTGCAGTGCGAAAACAAAAACAGAAATATGGAGAAGCATTTTCCAAACATGAGTTGGAGAACAACAAGAAGGTTGAATCTTGGAGAAAAGCACTTGTGGATGCAAGTAACATTTCTGGATGGGAAGTCAAGCTCATGGCCAATGGGTAATTTTCTTCTTTAGTTTTTACACCATTATTGCTTAAGACATATACTTGGGCCTTATAAGCTTTTTATACATATTTTAGTTAGGGAAAATTCATCAAATCACCAGTAAAGGGGGTATGGTTGAAGAAAATGACCAAGAAAATGCAACTTTTTTAAAATGATCACGACTTCCGCAGAGAGGGTATCTGTAGAACTTGTTCACCTGTGAGGAATTGGACACGTGGGGACAAAGACAAAAATTCACGTCTGATGGCATGGTTCCGCAGAGAACATCTCTGCGGAAATGGTGAATGCTCTGTGGAAATGGTAGCTGAAAGCAATAAACTACGTCCGACATTTCCGCAGAGCATTCACCATTTCCGCAGAGACATGCTCTGCGGAACCATGTCATCAGACCTGATTTTTTTTTCTTTTTCCACACATGTCCAATTCCTCAGAGGTGAACGAGCTCCGCAGAGACCCTCTCTATGGAAATCATGGTCATTTTATGAAAGTTGCATTTTCTTGGTCATTTTCTTCAACTAGACTCCCTTTTGTGTTCATTTGATGAATTTTCCCCTGTAGTTATTTTTGATGATGTTGATGACCTTGATAAAGAGAGGCTTTGACTAAGTCACTTGATCTGTTCGGTGAGGATAGTCAAATAATTATGGGATGGTAGCTTTCACTAGATGGGGTTTCTTATCCTTGTGAGCTCCGATTAATACTTCAAAATTTTGGCTGTTTTTCTTGTGAATATATGACAAATACGAGAATGAGTATATCATGATCTTGGTATGTTAAAAGATATTCCAACTTCCAAGTCCTAGGATTCCGAATAAGCTGAAATTAAGGTATGATGGACAATATTGAGGTCTAATTCTAGTTCCTTACTCAACACCTCATTTCAAGAACCACAAATCCATTTTGTTTTGCTTGCTATATCCGAAAGTATTCCATGTTTCCCAGATAAGCACTACAATCTGTGATATTTACCTTTAGAAATTCTATCTAAAATGTGAAATATGAAGGGTAATTAGGACTCATTTTCTTTAATTCACGGAACATGAAATAGATTACTTCTTTTGTCAATGTGAGCATATGTTAATTATTCTCGTGTATTCAATGTGTAGGCATGAATCAAAGGTTATCAAAGATATTGTTGACACAATTTCTGTTGAGTGTGAAGCCATTGGGTTAGTCAAAAGAAGTGGCAGGAAACAAGGACTCTCATGTGAACATGGAAAAATTGTTACGGCTGCAGAATTTCAACAATGGTGGCCTTATCAATTTCACATGTATGTGAATGGAAGAAAAGGCTTACGACTCAAAATATTATAAATAGGCTTCTTCCTTTCATTTGTAAAACTTGTATCTAGTATAACACAGAAAGAGTGCAGATTAGCACCAAGAAATGTAAACTCCTAGTTACCGGTGGACGTAGGTCAGAGAAGGACCGAACCACGTTAAATCCCTCATTTTCATCCTTGTGTTCTTGTTTTTCGTGAGCTGTGTGTGTGTTTAGAGTCGTGTGTTAAGTGTCTCGATCCTAACAAGTGGTATCAGAGCAAGGTTTTAGCTCCAGAAGGTGATTTTCAGTTTTTTGGTCGAAATTTTTTTTCGTCAAAAACGATTTTGGTGTATACCGTTGGAAAGGTCTCGTTCCGAAGATTCCGAAAATTTTTTTTTCTGAATTTTTTGACCACCGGAAGACGTCCAAATCGCCGGTCAAAGGTTTGCCGGAATAGTGACCGGAAAAACCAGTTCCGCCGGAGAAGACGACACTGTAGCGCCTGAACTTGCCGGAGAAGACGACACTGTAGCACCGAAGTTCTGCTGGAGAAGACGACACTGTAGCGGTACTGTAGATGTACTGTAGCACAACGTCAGCTGTGACGTCAGCAGACACTGTAGCATGACGTCAGCGGTGACGTCAGCAGACACTGTAGCACGCCGTCAGCGGTGACGTCAGCAGACACTGTAGCAGGCACTGTAGCGACACTGTAGCAAAACTGTAGCAGATTTGAAAATTTGCAATTTGGCCCCTGAATTTCCAGAAAATTGCAAAATAGGTCATTGTTCTTTCAGAAAATGGCAGAAAGCAATAAGCTTCAGATTGAGAAGTTTGATGGGAAAGATTTTGGTTGGTGGAAGATGCTAATTGAAGATTTGCTCGTGCAGAAAGACTTGGACGCAGTTTTAGGTGAAAAACCAGAGGCGATGACACAGGCAAACTGGGAGACTTTGGATAAGAAGGCCAAGGCATTTATTAGACTGACGTTGTCAAAGGATGTTGCCTTCAACATTTTGAAGGAGACCTCGGCAAAGGGAATCATGAAGGCATTGTCTAATATGTACGAGAAGCCGTCGGCAGCAAATAAAGTCTTCCTGATTCGGGAACTAGTCAACACGAGGATGAGGGAAGGAAGTTCAGTTACAGTACACATCAACAATTTGAACTCGATTTTATCCAGACTTGGGTCAGCGGGAATAAAAATTTGAGGACGAAGTTCAAGTTTTACTATTGTTATCATCATTACCTGACAGTTGGTCCGAAACAGTTACAGCCGTTACTAGTTCCGCAGGATCGAAAGAGCTCACTTTTGAGGGAATTCGGGATTTAATTCTAGGCGAAGACGTCAGTCGAAGAAATTCCGCGGAATCATCAAGTGAACAATTGAATGCGGTCAGAGGTAGAAGAAATAACAGAGGTAGTGGGAGCGGGAACAAGAGAAGGAGTCAGTCGAGGACTCGAAATGATGTGACTTGTTGGAACTATAAAGAGGTTGGACATTTCAGGAATCAATGTCCAAAAGACAAGAAAGAAGTTAACGTTGCAGTAGACCATTCAGATGATGATGTTTTGATCTGTAGTGTGGAGAGCAATGTGGATTCCTGGGTTATGGATTCGGGTGCTTCATTTCACGCTACCCACAGCCGTGAAGCACTGCAGAATCTAAAAGAAGGAGATTTTGGTAAGGTAAGACTGGCGAACGATGAGGTTCTTGATGTGACGAGCATAGGTGACTTAGTTTTGAAGACTCCAGTTGGTCCATGGACTTTGAAGGATGTCCGGGTAATTCCAAGTCTGAAGAAACAGTTGATTTCTGTTGGGCAGTTGGATGAACAGGGACACGAGGTTAAGTTCAGGAATGGGCAGTGGAAGGTTGTCAAAGGAAATCTTGTGATAGCTCGTGGACATAAGAGGGGTTCATTATATATGGTCAGTTTACCGTCTGAGGGAGTAACCGTCCCAGTTCAGAAGAAAAAACAAAATCCGGTTCATAGAGTCTCGTGGACAGAAGAAGGTTTGCTTTGCAGATGGCAAACCCAGAGTCACAGGTCAGATTCAGGTTGAACGTGTTTGGAACGGTTCAGAAAAACCAGTCAAGGGCATTCATAGCAATGGGAGCAAGGGCTGTGCTTCAGCTAGAATACCCAGAACACAGTGGGTTAAGAGAACCAGTATTCCATTTGTAAAAGTCTCTCCAGATTATCTGCTTCACATGGAGAGTGTCGTTTGTTCTCAGGATGTTCCAGGATCGGGCAGTTCATTTCAGTGGGAGCTGGTGGAGACAGAGAACAGTTCAGTGGCAGACTTAGCCATGACTGATGTGTTGGAGCTAACGGAAGCTTCAACTAGCCTTCAGGTAAATTGAAGAGAAGGCCAGGGTAACTAGGAAGGAGTCAAGATCAAAAGTTTTTACAGAAATACAGATACACAGTTGAAGCAATGGTGAAGATTGTTTCGTGGCTTCAAGTGGGAGATTGTTGAGTGTGAAGCCATTGGGTTAGTCAAAAGAAGTGGCAGGAAACAAGGACTCTCATGTGAACATGGAAAAATTGTTACGGCTGCAGAATTTCAACAATGGTGGCCTTATCAATTTCACATGTATGTGAATGGAAGAAAAGGCTTACGACTCAAAATATTATAAATAGGCTTCTTCCTTTCATTTGTAAAACTTGTATCTAGTGTAACACAGAAAGAGTGCAGATTAGCACCAAGAAATGTAAATTCCTAGTTACCGGTGGACGTAGGTCAGAGAAGGACCGAACCACGTTAAATCCCTCATGTTCATCCTTGTGTTCTTGTTTTTCGTGAGCTGTGTGTGTGTTTAGAGTCGTGTGTTAAGTGTCTCGATCCTAACAATTTCACATAGGTTGCATCCACTGACTTCAAGTGCAAATGACAAACTGATTGGAATAGAGGCTCGCATGCAAGATTTGAAATCAAAGTTAGAAATTCGCTCTGGTGGTGTACGCATGGTTGGGATATGGGGGGTTGGAGGTGGTGGTAAGACTACTCTTGCATTATCTGTTTTTAGGGAAATCTCTAGCAAGTTTGATTTTTGCTGCTTTATTGAAAATATTCGTGAGGAATCAAGCAGATATGGTTTGGAAAAATTGCAATTTAAAATTCTTTCAAATGTTTTGACGCGAAAAGAAATTGAAATAAACAGAGATGTACGACAGCTGCTAAAGGATAGGCTTTCTCGTATAAATATCTTGCTTGTTCTTGATGATGTTGATCACCTTGACCACTTGAAAATGTTAGCTGGATCACATGATTGGTTCGGTGAAGGAAGCCGAATAATCATCACAACTAAAGATGAACATTTATTAACTGCACACAGAGTAAATGTGATATACAATATTAGGTTGCTAAACAATGATGAGGGTACTAAGCTCTTTCGCAAGCATGCACCCCGGGATTACAGACCTATAGAAGATTATGAGCTACTTTCAAAATATGTGGTATCTTATGCTGGTGGGCTCCCTTTAGCACTTACGGTTTTGGGTTGTTTTCTGTGTGACAAAGACATTGATGAGTGGTGGAGTGCATTAGCCAGACTGGAAGAGATCCCGGAGACCGATATTGTGGAAAAGCTAAAAATCAGTTTTGATGGACTTAAACCGGTTGAAAAAGAGTTGTTCCTTCATATTGCATGCTTCTTCAGAGGGCTGTATAATAATGAAAGGACAATGGCTATGCTTGATGCTTGTGGTTTTTACCCGGTTATAGGCCTAAAAGTGTTGGTACAAAAGGCACTTATAACTATTTCGGATGGAGTGTTTGATATGCATGATCTGGTGCAAGAAATGGGACACTACATTGTTAGAGGGAAACACCCTAACAATCCTGAAAAACATAGTAGAGTTTGGAAGAAGGAAGATGTTCTAAAGATCTGTACTATGGATTCAACGAAGGTAATGATTAAGTTATCTTTGCATGCTATATATCTATAAAGGGAAAACCTTTTAACTCAACCCTGACACCATTTTGCCTCTACCGCAGGAACTTGACATGATTGAAGCAATAAGATTTCAATGCAATAGGTATGATCCGGTAGAACTTCTTCCTCCGGTTGTTGCAAACATGAAAAACCTTCGGTGGATTGATTGGAGAGGTGATCTTGCAAGTCCATTTCCTACTAACTTTCCACCTGGGGACCTTTGTTGTCTGATATTGGATGACATCTCGCAGAAACGACTTTGGGGTGGTTATAAGGTAATTCTTATACTTTCTCTAATTAACCCCAAAAAGCAGATGAATAATCATAGACCCGACTTGCCTAATATTGAGAGTAAATTACACGGACATGAGCACACAGATATGTCACCTGTCATTGGTGTCATTGCGCACCATCGCTTGTAGTAAGCCTCTATTTTTATTTTATAATTGTCCTTTTTGTTTTTTTAACCTTGCTCTATTTTTAGTTTTGTAGAAAGACGAATTGTTATATATGGGATAATTTAGGAAAAATGTGAGGTATGAATTGTAAGCTCCACATCACATGCCATGCACAATTAAACAATATGAATAATACATCTAAGGCTTGCAGGGCCGTTCCAAGTTGATTTGAGGCCCGGGACAAAAACAAAAGATGAAGCCCTTTAAAATTTAGTAATCACAAGCGATAACACAACGATGTTTGTGGAGACGAGTATCGGATGACTTGTTATTATATATATATATATATATATATATATATATATATATATATATTGAAAAAGTTGGATTGTGTTTAAAGGATGTAAGTTAAAAAAACAAATGACAAAGCCAATTAAAAAAAACCAAACAATAGAAATAACTTGACCATTTTGGAAAGCAGCCAGTTTGGTGTTTGGAAAAAAACAAAAATAAAAAGTGTTTGGAAAAATAAAACAAAAGAAAAATCTTACGTTGGTGAAAACTATATTCTTTTTAAGAATGACTAACATTACCGGTAGGCTGTAATGATTTTTGTTAACAACCCTACAAATAATAGTTCTTATACATTAAAAGACGGTGAAAATTTGAAAATCCCATATATAAACATGAAAATTATGCATGGTAATTGGCTATAACAACATCATACTTTTAAATAAAATGAATGTTTGGGTGGTTTGGCAAAACTAAAAAAGAGTCAACAGAACATTTCCATAATTTGGTTGATTTATGTATAGAAAAAAAGAATATAAGGTCTATTTTTTGAAATTTGGATTCCAATTCATTAAAGGTGAGGACGTATGATTCAAATTTAAGTTCCTTAAAGTATTAAAAAAAATACATTAGAAGAGCCCGTCCAATTGAATAATAAAAAAAGTAATAAGAAAGAGTAAATGCATATCAACTCAAAAAATGCTATAAAAGGGATTCGAACCTAGTACTATATTGATAATGAAGCGCGAACCTAATACTATATTTCATAATGAAGCGCTTAAACAGTGCGCTGTACCCACCTCCACTGGAAAATTGTTAAATATTTAAAAAAGCATATATATAAAATCCCACCCCCCAAAAAAAAAAGGGACCCCACCCCATTACGAGGCCGGGGCTGTCACCCAACTTGTCCGCTATTGGCCGGGCCTAAAGGCTTGTTAGATAGGGTCCACATCATGTAAGCTAGGAATATCCCTTTCTCAAATAATTAGGCTATACGGTATCGAGTTTTGGTGGCTACGTGTTGGGCTTACGTGGCAAGGCCACCTACGCGTGAACATCGCCCAGGCGCTCGTAGGTGCCTTGTGGCATAGTGCATATCATGGATGAAGACGACCAATTAAAACGAGAGAGAGAGAGAGAGAGAGAGAGAGAGAGAGAGAGAGAGAGTAAACGGCTATGTTTTTTACCGTTTGGAGTTTACAAAAAAAAAATTAATTTTAAATTTAAATAACACCACCTTTTATATATATATATATATATATATATATATATATATATATATATATATTACACTTTCACTCTTCATTTTACACTTCTAAATCCAAAAAATTACTCCTACTTTCTTTCATTTTATTCAAAAAAATGGATCCCAACCAAAATACTCCACCCACTCCAAACACTCCAAGTGATTATCAAGCATATATGCAATTGTTGAATTCTCCAATCCAACAACAACCTTTATTCACTAACCTTCCATACAATCCACAATTCTTCCAACAACAACGGCCACAACAACAATTCACTCAACCTCGATTCCTTCCCCAATTCCAAGGTTTTCAACAACAAGCTTCTCCACAATTCCAAACACAATCATCTCAAGTCCCATTATCTCAATCCCAAACCGTGAACCTCGACAACGACGATGTAGTTGTCCAAGAAACACCACAATCATCTTGAAGAAGGCAACCAAAAGGAAAAGGGAAAAAGAAAGCAACGACTTGGAACGAAGAAGAGGAAGAAGCTTAGCAAAAGTTTGGATTTTCATATCCTGTGATTCGAGAAGAGGCAACGCGCAATCTGGAGAAAGTTTTTGGAATCGTGTTTTGGATCACTTTCACGCGCTACTTGGAAGGAAAACGGATTGGTCGTACGATGCGGTCAACGGAAAACGGAGTGACCTTCGCGCGATTTGCACAAAGTTTAATGGCATATTTGAAAATCTAAAAAATATGCATAAAAGTGGTTCGAACGATTTCAACATTTTATCAACCGCGTGCTGCCAATTCAAAGTGACCAACAACGGTAAACCATTTGGTCACCAAAAAGCATGGGAAGTTTGCCGTCAAGGTCCAAAATGGGTCCTTAATCCGGAGACATCGCATTCGGACTTGACCACCGGCTCCAACAAAAGACCAAGAACTTCTGATTCGGACGCGGGTTTTGGGTTAGACCTCAATGATGACGTCGATGTTGCCGAGGGAGAGGGTCCACCTGAAGTCCAGCTCCGTCGACCACCGGGAAGGGACAAAGCAAAACGGGTGGCGTCTTCAAGCGGGAAAGCAACCGCAACTAGCGACGACGGGCTTGTGGAATCCATAGATAAAACTTTAAGTTTTCTAGAAAGAAAATACGAATCCACGGAGGAATCTCATCGCCAAAAAATCGCTCTTACCGATCCTCAAATCATAAACTCGAAGCCCCTACCGGATCTTGACCCCGAAAATCTCGCGACATTTCTCAAAATCCAACAACGTGTCCGTGCTAAGTATGAGGATTAGGTTCTAATATTTATGTTTTAGTTGTTATGTTGTGTATTTTTTTTAAGTAATTTAGGATAAATAAATAATTTAGGATTTTTTTTTAATAAATTTAGGATAAATAAGTAATTTAGGATTTTTTATTAAGTATTTTAGGATAAATAAGTAATTTAGGATTTTTTTTTTGTTTTTTTAAATATTTTAGGATTTGATTTTGAGTGTGTTAAATTTAATGCAATGTGTTTTAATTTAGTGTTTTTAATGTGTTTTTTATTTGAATTACTTTATTTAATTTAATCTAATATTGTCAAAAAAAATAAAAAAGAAAAAAAATGATGTGGAGTGGTAACCATTTCCAATGGTTAGTGGGTTGATAGTGGGTTTGTAGTTGAGGTGATGTGGCGTCACTTTTTGAATAGGCTGGGTGTGACCATACCCCTTAGCCTTAGAGGTGTTCATGATTCATATTAACTAAGTAACCTGTCCGGTTCCTTTGTTAAATTGGTTATTTGGATTGCGTTATTCTTCAACTTCCGGGAGAAACCAAATAAATAACTAGTCTAATGGTTTTATTTCAGTTTTGGGTATTTCTAATCGGCCCCACTTGAAACCTAAACTTGTGAGTACTATATATATATATATATATATATATATATATATATATATATATATATATATATATATATATATATATTAGGTGTGACACACCTGTATTACATGGGTTTATTTAAAAAAAATTAAATATGAAATTTTAACAATTTAAAAAGTTTGAATTTATAAGAAAAAATGAGAAAAATTTTGAATTATTAAAATTAATGAGGCTTTAATGTACTGAATACATTACATATATAAACCCTTTCTAATAAATATCTTACATATATATTACCTTACATATTAAATGTGGAATTTTAATTTAATAAAATGAAAAATACAATAAAATGACAAGTGGAAAATAGAAAGTTCAAAAATTCTAGAAAATAACATGTGTCCAAATGAAGGAGAAGAGGACATGTGGCAAAAGTTCTTTATATATATATATATATATATATATATATATATATATATATATATATATATATATATATATATATATATATATGAGGTTGACTAAAAAGGCATCCCATATTATAATAGGGAATTTTTTTTACACACCATCCTACTACACACCAGTCTAGTCTAGTATTGATTTTCTACCAATTTTTCCATGTAATCAAATTTAAAGTTTCAAGAAGATCTCAGGTTTAATTTTTTTCTTTAAAAAAATAGGAAATGAAATAAAAAAATTGAAATTGGAATGAATAAAGATAAAATTGGCGCTTACTGGGGAGAGGAGGAGTCACAATTAAGGTTCTATCCAACCCATTGTTATTTTATATATATATATATATATATATATATATATATATATATATATATATATATATATATATATATATATATATATATATATATATGGGGTTGACTAAAAAGACATCCCATATTATAATAGGGAATTTTGTTTTTTACACACTATCTTACTATACACAAGTCTTGTCTAGTATTGACTTTTTACCAATTTTCCCATGTAATCAAATTTAAAGTTTCAAGAAGATCTCAGGTTTAATTTTCTTTTTTAAAAAAAAAATAGGAAATGAAATTAAAAAAAAGGAAATTGGAATGAATAAAGATAAAATTGGCGCCTACTGGGGGAGAGGAGGAGTCACTAGTAACTAGGGGTGTTCAAAAATATCCGTATCCGAAAATCCGATCCGAAAAATCCGAAATCCGATCCGAAATTATCCGAAGTTTCGGATATCCGGATTTTCGGATATCCGAAAATTCGGATATCCGCTTTTTCGGATTCGGATACGGATATTAGTTTTATAAAATTTCGGATATTTCGGATATCCGATATCCGAAAATATACACTTTTCTATATTTTTTTTATTATTTTATGCTATTATTTGAAAATATAAATTAGGAAGATTTAATGTTAGGATTAATGTTTTTATGCTATTATTCGGTGATGCCATGACAAATTGTTAAATTGATTGATATTTATTTTGTTTAAACCATACGATGATATTCTAATGACTAACAACATGCTACTGTATTCTAATATACAACAATTTAATTTATGAGTCATTGAGCTTTTTAAGAATGGAGTTTCATCGTTAATGTTTTTCGTTAATACTTAATGATTCCATGTTTTATGTGTCTTAAATTAATAATCGATGGTTTTGAATTTGTTTGATTTAAGTTTAATCAAGTAGGCAATCAACTTATCAGTGGTTGATAGTTTAATGTGTCTCAAACTAGTAATCGATTTTAATAAAACTTAATAGTGGTTGTTTAATTAATTGGATTGATATTTGATAGTGACCAAAAGTAAGAATTTCGGATATCCGATTGTAGTATCCGAATCCGTATCCGAAATTTCGGATATCCGAAATTTCGGATACGGAATCGGATACCAAATATACACTATTCGAATTTTCGGATATCCGGTTTTGAACACCCCTACTAGTAAGGTTCTATCCAACCCATTGTTATTTAATAATAATTAAAATTATTTATTATTTGAAGTATTTTTTTGTTAGCAGCTTTTTATCTTTCTATATTTTGTATTTTTAGGAACACAATCAAAATGCAATTTTTAACTTCACGTTAAGTTGTACATTCTCATCTTTCTTTTTAATGAATTTACAAACATTGTTTAAATATTAATAATATTTTTTTTATAAAAAAACTGTACGTTTTAAAAAAAACTGCATGTTTTATAAAAAAAATTGCACGTTTTATAAAAAACTGAAGTTTTTATAAAAAAAAACTGCATTTTTTTAATTTTTTTTGCATATTTTAATAAACAAATTGTACGTTTTAAAAAAACAGCTTGTTTTAGAAAAAAAAATTGTACGTTTTATAAAAAACTATACTTTTAAATAAAAAACTACACGTTTTATAAAAAACATAAAAAAGTAAATTATAACAAGAAACAACAAAGAATAACATATTTATGAAAATTAAGTTTATGGAAATGGAAAAAAAAATGTTTGTACGTTTACGACTAAAAACAAAGATAAAAATTAATGAAAATTATTTATATTATTATATGATAAAAATAATACTATTGTTAATTTTTTATCTTAATAAAAAATAAGTTTAAATTTATGAATATTAATAAAATTAGTAATAAAAATATAATTATTATATAATAAACTTTTATTGATTAGGTTTTAATGAAATAATTCTAAAAGTTAGTTAAAGAATAATTATATGACAATGATGACTTAAAAGGTATGAAAAATGATAATTATATGGTAATAATTACCTAAAAAGTAAGGCTAATAGTATATGAGAGTTAAGTAGATTGGTGTGTCCATAGCAGCACCCATTATAATATGGACATCCTAATTAATTTTTTAATTATTTTTATTTGTTGAAATTGTATTGTTTTCTGAAAAGGCTGATTATAAACAGTTAATTATTGATTTACTTTTTATAAAAGTAGCAATAGGGTGTCTAAACGGTGTCTAATTAGACACACACACACTTAAGTTCAAAAGAGAAAATTATGTAATCGATAACGCGAAAACAAATCTTGACGACATATTTCTTTTTGCCGCAAAAAGCTTCGGTGTACCGGCACGACTGAGAAAAAAAAAAAGAAAAAAAAAACGGTACGCCGGGGGAAAGGTAATATTCATATGTGAATATAAATGTAAGTATATTCACATATGAATCCACCACATCCCCTCTACTCCACCATCACCACCTCCCCTCTACTCCACCATCGCCACCTCCACTACATCTACCATCACCTCGTGTTCTCGATTTCATAATTGTTCTAATTTGAACCCTCCCATATATATATATATATATATATATATATATATATATATATATATATATATATCACTTTTTCAATTATATATGTATTTTAATTTACTTTAAAATCTTATTACTTTGATTTGTTTTTGACTTGTTTGCACTTGTATACAACAGCATCTCCCAAATTTGAAAATCATGGAACTTGCTTGTTTGAGTAACCTAATCATGACACCAGATTTTGATGAACTTCCTAATCTTGAAAGATTCATTCTTCGTGGATGTCGGTGTTTAAAAGAGATTCATCCGTCGATTGGACGGTTGAAAAGGCTTGTTTTCCTGTCTATAGAATTTTGTGCTGGTCTTAAGATATTTCCTCCCATTACACAACTAAAGAAACTCGAGACCTTTTCCTTATCGCATTGCCCAAAACTTTTTAAGCTCTCATGGATCGAAAGGAACTTGAACAGTGTACCATTTCTTCATTTGAATAATAGTGGGAAAGGAGTAGCATCTTCTAAGAAAACTTCATCAAACATTTTTGCTACTTGTTGGGCGTGTGGTGACACAGAAGTTAAAAAACCACAAGAGAACCTCAGTGATGTAGAAGAATGTTATTTAGAGGAGGCTTGTTTACATCACAACAGCATGAACCACCATACTCTATTAAGGTTTTTTCCCAAATCCTTAAGAAAGTTAAATCTCAGGTACTGTAATTTGGGAGATATAGGCATTGGTTCTGCTGTTTGGGAGTTACCCAACTTGGAAGAACTCATTCTAAAAGAAAATGAATATTCGCATTTAAATTTTAGTCTCTTGCAACTTCCTCGGCTAAAATGGCTCGATGTATCACGCTGCACAAAACTTGTAGAATTGTCAGAACTGCCATCAAGTATAGTTGTTGTTATAGCAGATGGTTGTGACTCACTTGAAAGCATTGGAGATATTTCAAACTGTAAATGGTTGCGGAAAGTCTCACTTCTGGGGGTGAAAAATCTTCGGCCATGGGTTGGTGACATATTAGTACGCTCTATGCTCCAGGTTTGGCTCTACCTTTGGAATATTTCAATATTTTTTATAATATAAACCCAAACATAAGAATCATAACTGAATTTGTTTTCCACGGCAGGGTAATGCTGTTGAAGATCATTTTATCAGTGTCGCTCTCGAACATCAGATGATTCCAAAGGGGTTGATAGGTAGGCTTCATAGGTTGAAAACGTTTAAACTCCCTCTTCCACATGATTGGCGCAATGACTTTTGTGGATTTTTGATATGCATTATCACCAACACAAGACATCCGATCATAAATATAATCATCAAGCGAGAGGCGGATGAGGATTCTCGATCTGAGCTTTGGCAGGAATCTAATGAAGCACCAGATTCTAAATATGGTAAAAGTGTGTCACTCGTAGGATATGTTTCCTTCAGTTCATTGAGTCGAACAGGATACTTGAATTCAACATACAATATGATTTCTTTTTCCATCTACGGAAAGAATTGGAGTGGGCCGGAAGCTAATAGTTATGTTGGAGCTGAACTCGTTCCTAGGAAAAGTAAAGGTGATGATCAGGTGCAAACAACAGACTGGTCAGAGTTTTGGGACAAGGACCATGAACATGGAAATACATTTACAATCCACCGTGAAGCACATTCTTCTATCAAGATCTTATGGCAACCTTACTACTGCACACAGGTCTGTTGATTATTCGCCACTTCGTATCTCACTTTCTTAACTCTCTTTTTGCATTATTCTCATTGAATAATCAGTGGTAACAGTTACTTTCTCCCTGATTCTACCATTACGATTAGGTAAATGTGACAGGAATCACTTTAGTCTCAACGACTTAGAGATTCGTTTATGAGTTTGTGTTTTTCTAAGTATTCCTTTATTTGACCATTATAAACTTTTCCTCGCTTTCCCCCTACTTTGCTTCTACTTCAGTGGTGTTCTCCGTTTCTGTGACTGTTTTCCTGTTTTGTTTTTGTTTCGAGGCTTATTTCCTGCAGTAGTTTCTTTCACCATCATATAGCTTTTCCGTATTGAGTGGCTTTTCAAAAATAAATACTCCTAAGGGGGCGTCTGGGTTGTGGCATTTCGAATTTGGTATCGGAAGGATATGGAATTGAAAGGATTAATTTGTGATTGGTTAATAAAAGTCGATCATTACATAGTCCAAAAACCTATCAAGTACCAACTGTCCAATTTTCAATATGTCAACGTTTTTTTTTTTTTTTTTCGGGCATGATTCTTTTTGCACACCCTTTAAGGATTTGGAATGGAACTAAAATTTGTTCTTCAGTACACCTTGTCGGGTTTGTATCTGTAAAAGAGTGTGAAATATGTATATTTTATAAATAGCTAATACCAACGAATTTGAATAATTATAAAAAATTAAAAATGATCAAATTACTTAGTTGAAAAACGATTCTTCTTAAAAACTGTATAAGTACTTAAAAAAACCTATTCATTACATATACCATTCAACATATAATAATTTTGTTAATAAATTCTATACATATTCAATGGGATATTCCATATATAACCTGTTTGGCTGTCAAGGAATCATACCTCTGGTCCAAAAACTGAAGTCGAAATCAGGAAAAATAAAATAAAATTGCTTCTAAACCTAGCTATTACACATGAACATGGTCAAGTTTGTAAAACAAAATTGCAAAAACAGTTTAATCAAACACCTCTTTGATTAATTGGAAAAATAACTCAAAAATCAATTATGTTTTTCTGCATAATATCATGCCTCGATATCTATACATATATATACTCCTAAAACTACCGACTTGTAGAATTAGATCACAATTAGGAAACTAGAAACCGACTTGTTTATGATTTCCTAAAAACTAGGTTGGTCTCCAAGTCCTACTCGATTTAGGATTCCAACAATCACCCCCGAATCTCTAAGTCCTTCTAGAGAATTCTTCAACCCCGTTTCGTTTTTTAAAAAACGGATTCATCGCTGTCGTCACGTTCCGAAAAATCACCTTCTCGTAATTTTTGGAGTTGTTCCGGACATTCAGACGCAAAGTGACCCAGTTTGTCACACCGAAAACAAATCACCTTAGATCGGTCTTTTTCCCTATTTTTCCGATTTTTGTCGCAATAGCAATTACATTTTTTGCAATTGGGTTGAGATAAATCAGAATTGGACTGGGCCGATTACTTTGAGAAACACTATTATTTCCTTTGGGCCCGCCTGACCCACATGACCCTCCAGATCCGGATCCACTTGACCCGTTAGTCCCATTAAACTCATTCGATCCTTTCCACTTTCCCTTCGTTCCCGACGAGTTACCCCCACCAACCGACGAGCCTTCTTCAAACGTCGATTTCACAAATAGCACCTTTGATTGATCGCTCCCATCGGTATCCTCTTCCCTTACTCTTTCCTCGTAGGCCTTCAATCGTCCAACCACATCCTCGAAACCCACCGTCTTCAGATCAAGAACTTGCTCAAGGGAGGCCACGATGTGGATGTATTTTCTTGGCAACGACTTGAGAAATTTCTTCACCATCTTTGATTCTTCAATCGTTTCACCTAGTGCTGCCGATTGTGACGAGATTCCGGACAGTTTTCCGGCGAAACTATCGATTGTTTCTGAATCGTTCATCCTGAGCCGATCGAACTCGGCACTTAGGGTTTGAAGACGGGCCTCCTTCACCCTATCAGCCCCTACATAACGAGCCTTGATCGATTCCCACAGAACCTTTGAAGACTCGACATCGCCAATTTGCATTATCAAGCTTTCTGGAATTGCCTGATAAAGCAGCCCCATAGCAAGGTAATCTTTCTCCTCGGTCTTCTCTGTTCCTGGATCGATCACTGTCCAAGCCTTGTGAATCTTTAATACCACTTTCATTCTCATTGACCATACCGTGTAATTCGTTGAGTTCAGCATAGGACATGCTACAGTGGTTGACCCAACTTCCTTCACTCTCACCGGAGGGGGCCTGCACCATCTTCACCATCCGACATGTTGACCTAGCTTGTCAACAGGTAACAAAATCGATCTCACAGCCTTCGATTCCTTGGCTCTGATACCAATTCAAGTTTGTAAAACAAAATTGCAAAAACAGTTTAATCAAACACCTCTTTGATTAATTGGAAAAATAACTCAAAAACCAATTATGTTTTTCTGCATAATATCATGCCTCGATATCTATACATATATATACTCCTAAAACTACTGACTTGTAGAATTAGAACGCAATTAGGAAACTAGAAACCGACTTGTTTATGATTTCCTAAAAACTAGGTTGGTCTCCAAGTCCTACTCGACTTAGGATTCCAACACATGGTGTCTGCCTAAAAGTATGCTGCAAAAGCAAAATCAAAATTATGCTTTTAGCCTCAACTATTTTCAGTCTTAAGTGTAACTTTCATCGTTGGTTGTAATTACATTGTATTCAATGCCAGCAAGTAGTTGTGAAAGTGGACATATATAGCTATGAAGACATAGAGAAGGCTATGTTGGAAGTTATCCACCTTTCAGGTTAATATTGTGTTTGTATTTTTTTCATTCTAGCTATTTGCATTTGAGTACCATGTGTGTGAGTAAATTTTGTTTTGAAATATATATAGGGGTGGAGTCCGTATCACTCATGAAAGACACGATGGACGTGGAATTGGCAGTGATTGGAGATGTTGATCCAGCTGATATCGTCGTAAGACTTAGAAAGTGTTGCTACGCAGAGATAGTGACCACTGGACCAGCTAAAGGTTGGTAGAAGCTTAATGGGGGTTCAATACTTTGTTCAAAGTGTATAAGAGCATCCAAATGGTTGTGTAGATGTATTAATTAGTACATGTATATTGGAGTACTTTTCAAAATCTCACGAGGGAAATGGGCAATGTACAAGAAAAGATGCAGTAGGTACATGTGTATAGGGTTGGCTTTGGATTGATGATACCAATACATATTGATGTAACAACACCCACTTAGTTATCTTTCAGATATATGCATGTGTTGTGCATGCTTTGTTAGTTTCAGTTTGTCATTTTTATATTTATACATTATTTGCTTTTTCAGTTTAGCTTTTGATCATTTCCTGTTTAGTAGTAGACACAAGTTAGTGGGTAGTTTTTTATGTTTTATGCATTCGCGTTTTCATGTAAGCCTTTTGGTATCTAGTTTTTCTTATTCCATAAAATCAAGCAAACACGTGAAGCTTAGATTGTGTGTTCTCTTCTTATAGTGTTTATCCTTGTTTGTTTTGCGTTGTGTACAAGTTATGTTGTGTACAAGTTACAGGAACCATTTCAAGTTAACATACTGGTGTCAAAGCCTAACCCATGGGCGATCTTCAAGTAGTAGGCGGCATTAAGAAACTCAGCAATGGTAACTACAGCACCTGGTTAAGTTTTACATGCAGGGTCAAGATCTCTCAGAAGTGTAGATGGAACTAAGTTGTACATGCAGGGTCAAGATCTCTGGGAAGTTGTAGATGAAACTGAGACAATTCTGGTGCAATTTGGGAGATGGAGACATCAGATCTGGTGCTGTTTGGGAGTTACCCAACTTGCAAGTACTCGATCTAACTGAAAATAACTTTTAACGATTGAATTTTAGTCTCTTTTGAGTTCCTCGGCTCAAATGGCTTGATGTGTCGTACTGCAAAGACCTTGTAGAATTGTCGGAGCTGCCATTAAGTATTGCTGTTGTTATAGCGGATGGTTGTGATTCACTTGAAATCTTTGGAGATGTTTTCAAACTGTGAATGGTTGTGGAAAGTCACTCTTACTGGGAACTACGAACTTGGTCCACTTGCTGGAGACATATTACTAAACTCCATGCTCCTGCAGATTTGGCTTTTGATTTTATATGTAATATATAAATAAAACCAAACATAAAAAGAATACAGGTGAATCATAATGAATGTGTTTGTTTAGTGGTAGGGAAACGCCAAAGATTACTTTATCAGTATCAACATTTCAAACATTGATATTTGGAGTGGGTGCTCGGTACTTTGGGTCGACTGGGTGAAGACTTACAATATGCTGCTTCCACACGATTGGTACAATCACTTTTCTGGGATTTTGATGTTCCTCAAATCCAATGGGAATTTGTATTCTCTGAACCCTGGCATAATCATCAAGCTGGGCGTAGACGAAGATTTTCAATCTGAGCTTGGTCAGGAGTCTAATGAAACACTTGAGACTCAGTCTCAAGAGAAGACATATGTAGGATATGTTTCCTTTAGTTCACTGAGGCACACCACATGCTTGAATTCAACATACAATATCATTTCTTTTTCCCAAGATAAGGAGAAATTGTATGGAGATGATTACAAGTTTAGAGCTGTACTCGTTCCTAAAAAATATCTGTTCCAAACAACAAAAGCGGCAACCAATTCCTTACAATTTTGGGATGAGGAGGAAGTTTATGATAGAAAGACATTTACGATTCAACATGATTCAAACTCGTGTATCGAGATTTTATGGGATCCTCTTAGTCATTTGTAAACTCATTCTCTCTTTGACTATATTACAGTTCCTAGTTCTCTCCCTCAACTTTTTCTTTTGCATTATTACCGTTAAACGATCATTGGTACCGATTTACTTTAATGAACTTGTGCTTTCAATCAAAACACACGCACACACATTAAGGTTGTTGGTTGTTTGGAAAGTTGATTTGGGTCATTAAATCCCAACTTACTTTAAATGGTTATGCTTAACTTGATTTGGGTTGTTAAAACCCAACTTACTTGAAATGGTTATGCTTAACTTGATTTGGGTCACTGAATCCCAACTTATTGAAATAGTCTTGTCAAACTTATTTGTCTTGGGTAATTAAACCCCAATATGAGTGAAATAGTTTTGAAAAGATTTGGGTCATGAACCCCTACATCTTTTGGAAATTGATTTTATAATAAATGGTTTATCGGAGGCTGATTTTAGTAAGTTAGATTGCTATCTTATTCAAAGTGAATCCACATCGGGTATTCTTACTAAGCAAATCCATTTCCTAACCTTTTTTGAAATATGCAGGTTGAACGTAGAGGTGAGAAGCAGAAGAGTTTAGCTTGGATTTTGAGAAGAGCACAACTTGTGTGGTGAGTTGAACAAGTGTTTTAATGTGTTGATTGTAAACAACCTCATTATTTTAAACTTGAAATCGTTTATACTTTTAGGATTGTTCTATTTCCGCAAGACTTAACTCTAAACTAATACAAATTTGGATTATAAAACTAAAAAAATTTCTTAAAAGGGTTTACTATTAAGCCCGAGCGAAGGGTGTTAAAAAATGGTAATATTATTTTTTATTTTTAAGTTTTTTATTTTTTTTTCTTAAAATGGCTTTGATTTGTTTGTTATGTTCTAAAAATTAAAATTGATTTATGATTTATAAAATTTGATTAAGAAAGAAAAACAATAATATCCTTAAACATGGCGTGAACATATGCCTAAAAAGGTTGTTCGACCGACGAATATCACTCGAATAGCAGATCCGTTTAGCAACTCTTAACAAACAACGTTGTGTCATTCAAGCATCTTAATAGTTTAATTTCTACCGCATAGCCTCTCTACTGTAGTATACTTATTTGGGACGTGATCAAATTTTAAGGTTTTGGAGGTGAGAATGTAAAATATAGAAATGTGGGGACTAAATCTTGAAACTTATAAACTTGAAGGTATAGTTTTTTAGGATGTGATCAAGTTTTAAGGTTTTGGAGGTGAAAATATAAAATGTAGAAGTATGGGGACTAAATGTTGAAACTTCTAAACTTGAAAGCATATTTTTTGGGGACGTGAAAATTTTAAGGTTTTAGAGGTGAAAATATAAAATGTAGAAGTATGGGGACTAAATGTTGAAACTTCTAAACTTGAAAATATATTTTTTGGGGACGTGAAAATTTGGAGGTTTTGAAGGTAAGAATGTAAAATGGAGAAGTGTGGGGACTAAATATTGAAACTTGTAAACCTGAATAAATTTATTTGTCATTATTTTGTCTCCCTCGTTGACCGACCTATCTAATGAGTGAGGTGAGAGAGGAGTCGAGCGCTGGATGAAATAATCAGCCTAACTCAGATCGATCCCAGCTTAAAGAACAAATGACTGAAGAAACTCTACGGGAATTGAAGTGTAAGCGGTGAGTTGATTGCAAAGTAAAATCTTAGAAAGGGCTTCTGCTAAAATCTGGCGTTGCTGAGAATTTGAGGTACGTTCTGAAACTGATAAATTGATGAAGAATAATTTGTCAATAAATAAATTGATGTGTTAATAAAGTTCTATACGGGTAAGAAAAATGTCGATCTGGAATGTCGGAAACGTATTTTGACGTAATCTAGTCAAATCTTTGAAGTTTTTGAATTAGTGTAGTTAGATGATAAAATTAAACAATTTGTGAAGTTCATGAGCTGTTGTGGATGTTATGAACGAAAGGAATTAGTGGGAAAATGAATCTAAGAATGTGTATTTGTTGTGGATAGAAAAAGAGAATCAAACAGGGTAATAGGGAATTTAAACGATCCTTTAAGAGGGGACATCGAAACATTATATTTAGATCAAAGATACCAGTCATTTACTGATTACCAATTCTGGTGTTTCGAATTTAGGCTGGTTAGTAATTAAGATGCTTGGTTGGTATTTATAAGTGAACACTGTTGTAATTGTATTGATTGAATTGAATTCTGAATACCGAAATTGTACAGGTATTTATACACAGTAGGAAGGGGGAATAAGGCCTAAGTATACGGCACTAACTAACAGAATACACAGGATTAGGTAAACTATTTGAACACTTCATTTTCATGTTGATAGCATGGTTATTAGGTATAAACTTATGTTAAGGATCTAAAGTTGGGGCATTGAAGAGTGAAGGGGTTGAGGAAAGGTATCTACATACTCAAATCAATTCAAGTTGAAATAGCAAATTAAGGAACAAATCCTATGGCAATTGATGCATAAGCTTGCAAACTGAAGAGTTTAGAAAAGGAGTCTGCCAAAGCTTGGTGTTGCTGGGAAATTTCCTACACTCATTTTAAGAAAAATCTCAACGTAGAATTAATAATAAAACATCAATTTGTATAATGTGGTCTGACAACTTACAAGTTACAACACCCACATCAGTTCATATCCGTCTTTTGAATCATAAATTCATAACTTGCATTATTTATCAAAGGAGTTTTATTGACAAAACAATGAAAAAAAAAACAATTAAGGACTGGTTATGAGGTTCTCTAAATGGCAACCAATTACTTCAATTATGAGTTATGAAAATGTTTTTTTACATGATAACAGGTAGTGGAAACTCACATCTCAGTTATAATATTTCATCATTGAAGTACTCAAACTGCATATAGTCTATCTCAACAAATCAACATATCAATGGCATCTTCATCTTTATCTCCTTCCGCTATGGCCTATTCTTCTCAGTTGTGGAAGTACCATGTTTTTCTTAGTTTTAGAGGAGAAGATACTCGGAAGACTTTTGTTGATCATCTCTACACGGCTCTTGTACAACAGGGGATCTACACTTACAAGGACGATGAAACATTTCCTCGGGGAGAATCAATTGCCCCATCCCTTGAGAAGGCCATTGAAGAATCACAAATTGCTGTCATCATATTCTCTAAAAACTATGCTGATTCTTCATGGTGCTTAGATGAACTTGTACATATCATGAAATGCAAGGATATGAGAGACCAAATCGTTATGCCCATATTCTATGATGTGGATCCCTCTGAAGTGCGCAAACAAAAACGAAAATATGGAGAAGCTTTTGCTATACATGAGTTGGATAACAAGACCAAGGTTGAATCTTGGAGAAAAGCACTTCTGGATGCAAGTAACCTTTCTGGATGGGAACCCCAACACATTGCCAACGGGTAATTTCCTTCTTGGTTTTTGTATTTTTTATGCTTAAAATATGTGTGCTCATCTACTATAAGTCATTTATACTAATTCCTTATAAGTTAATAAAAGGATAAAGCCAAATTTTTTATGATACATGTTTCTATAGAACAACTAGTCATGTATAACGAATTAATGATGCAAATAATTATACTCGTGCTATGCAGTACACCAACAAAAATATATTTTAGAAGGGAAACAACAAGTATGATGTAAAGAAGTTCTCTTAGCTATTTTGAAAACACAGCGGGTAGTAGAGAGTGATGATAATAAGTAGGCTGTCATACAAAAATGCTTTGATTATTCTGGATGATGTTGATGACCTTAATTGATACACAAAGGCTAAAACTAGATCACTTGATAAGAGACAAATATTATAATCACTACTACAGGAGATTGACATTTGCTAAGTATACACAAAGTAGACATTGTCGAGGGTAGTAGTATATAATAGGGCTATTTTTCATTCTGAGCATGTTTTAATGATCCTTATATATCCAATTTGCAGGCATGAGTCAAAGTGCATTAAAGAAATTGTTGACATAATTTCTCATAGGTTGCGTCCAATAACTTCAAGTGTGGATGACAACCTGATTGGAGTAGAGTCCCGCATGCAAGATTTGATATCAAAGTTACAAATTGGGTTTGGTGGTAAGAGAATGATTGGAATATGGGGAGTTGGGGGTGGTGATAAGACTACTCTTGCCTCTTCTATCTATGATGAAGTTTCTAGTAGGTTCGATGGTTGTTGCTTTCTAAAAAATATCCGGGAGGAATCAATTAAAAAGAATGGTCTTGAAAACATGCAAGCAGAAATTCTTTCTGGGGTTTTGAAACAAAAGCTAGTGCAAGTAGGAAGAGTTGAAGAAGGAAGGCGCATGATAAAGGATAGGTTACACCATAGGAAGGTGTTGATTGTGCTTGATGATGTTGACAACCTTGAGCAGCTAGAACAGTTAGTTGGATCACATGATTGGTTCGGTGAAGGAAGCCGGATAATAATCACCACTAGAGATGAGCATGTATTAAGTGGACACAGAGTAGATGTTATACACAATATTACCTTGTTAAACAATGACGAGGCTATGAAGCTTTTTTGTAAGCATGCACCCCAGGGTCAGAATCCTACAGAAGATTATGAGTTGCTTTCAAAAGATGTGGTTTCTTATGCCTGTGGGCTCCCATTAGCACTTAGAATTCTTGGTCGTTTCTTATGTGACAAAGATATGAATGAATGGAGGAGTGCATTGGCTAGATTGAAAGAAATCCCGGATGCTAATATACTTGAAAAGCTAAAAATCAGCTTCGATGGACTTACACCTGTGGAGAGAGAGTTGTTCCTTGATATTGCATGTTTCTTCAGAGGGCATGATTATAAAGATGAAAAGATGATGATGATACTTGATGCTTGTGGTTTTCACCCTGTTATAGGCATAAAGGTGTTGATACAAAAAGCTCTCATAACTATTTCGAATAAAAGGTTTAGTATGCATGATTTGGTACAAGAAATGGCACACTACATTGTTAGAGGGGGACACCCTAACAATCCCGAAAAACATAGTCGAGTTTGGAAGAGGGAAGATGTTTTAAATATATGTGCTATGGATGCAATGGAGGTAATTGTTTAAACTAGCTTTTTGTGATATATATATATATATATATATATATATATATATGTTTTAATGAGCGCTTTTAACTATATCCTGACACCATTTCGTTCCTTGATCCCAGAACCTTGACAAGATTGAAGCTATAAATTATTGGTGTCTAAGAAGTACTCGCGAATCACAAGTTTTTCTTCAGGTCATTGCAAACATGAAGAAACTTCGGTGGATTGATGTGAGCTTTGGATTGACATCTACATTACCAGAAAATTTTTCACCAAGGGAGCTGTGTTGTCTGATATTTTCTGGTGGCCTCAAGGAAACACAAATTTGGGAGGGTTATAAGGTACTTCTTATCGTAAATGGCTAGAATGAATTTATTATGTTAGCAAACTTTTGACTTATGTGTACTTGTGTTTACAGTATCTACCAAATTTGAGGACGATCAATCTTGATCTAATGCCAAACCTAACGAAGACACCTAATTTTGATGGGCTTCGGAACATTGAAAGATTCATGATTAGGGGATGTGGAAAATTAATAGAAATTCATCCATCATTTGGGCATTTGGAAAAGCTAGTTTACGTAGTGATAGACGGTTGTTTCAATCTTCAGATGCTTCCACCCATTACCCGATCGAAGAAACTTGAGACTCTTGAACTCTCAAAGTGCAGTAAACTTTTTAATTCTTCAAGGATACAGCAAAGTATGGAGAATGTAGAACATCTCCCAGAGCCTTTTCTTCCTCACAACATAAACCACATAGGGCTACGCTTTTTTAATGGATGCTTGAGAAAGTTGGATCTCAGTGGTTGCTTTTTGGGAGATGGAGACATCAACTCTACTGCTGTTTGAGAGTTTCCTAACTTGCAAGAACTCGATCTACATGGGAATAAGTTTTCAAGATTAAATTTTAGTCGAATTCCTCGACTGAAATGTCTCAATGTAATATACTGCTTCCATCTTGTAGAATTGTTGGAGCTGCCATCAAGTATAGCTGTTGTCATAGCGGATGATTGTAACTCACTTGAAAGGTTTGGAGATATTTCAAACTGTAAATGGTTGTGGAAATTCTCATTGTGGGGGAACAACAAACTTGGTCCACTTGATGGTGACATATTACTAAACACCATGCTCCAGGTTTGGCTTTTCATTTTCATTTTTTCATTCATTGTTATAATATAAACCCAAAAATAAGAAGAATACAGGTGATCACTCATAATGGAATGTGTTTGTTTTGTGGAAGGGAAATGCCAAAGATTACTTTATGAGTATCAACCTTTCAAACATTGACATTTGGATGGAGACGTCTGTAGTTTGGATCGACTGGGTGAAGACTTATAATATGCAGCTTCCACAGAATTGGTACAATCACTTTTCTGGGATTTTGATGCTCGCTAAATGCAACAATCGGTATCAGCGCTTTAATATAATTATCAAGCAGGGTGTAGATGAAGATTTTCAATCTGAGTTCTGGCAGGAATCTAATCAAACACTTGAGTCTTCTTTTCATGACACGTATGTAGGATATGTTTCCTTCAGTTCACTGAGGCGCACAGGATACTTGAATTCAACATACAATATGATTTCGTTTTCTACGGGGGATAGTTTGTTGTTGGGTAGAGCTCAGCATAGGTTTAGAGCTAGAGTTGTACTCATTCCGAAAGATGATCCCATGCAAACAGCAGCAGTTGCAACAAATTGCTCAGAATTTTGGGATAAGGAAGTTCTTAATAGAAAGACATTTACCATACAACATGATTCAAACTCCTCTATCAAGATTTCATGGTTTCCTTGGATCTGACAAACCCATTCCCACACGTATTGAATAACTTTTTCTTGTGCATTATTATTGGTGGTAACATTTACTCTTATAAATTTGTTACTGTCAACCAAAACCTGAGCTGATGATAGATTTATGAGTAGCTTTAGTCTCAATTTATTAGTGGTCTGTTAATTGATCATGGACTCATGGTTGTTTTTGTTGATACCGATTACATCTAAACTAATTAGATCTAAAAATGTATGGTAATATGTTTGCCTTTCTCAAACGATATATGTGATTCTAGTACATTTCGACAAGCCTTTCTGGTTGTTTGATATTCAATTTGTGAAACATAGTGCTGGGGAACACCTATAATCAGCTCAATGTCATTTCAATATAAAAAAGGTTGAGAAATCAAGCCCTAAATCTGATCAGGGAAAGGATATTCAAAATGGAAGTCATAAGGAACAGGCCCTTGAACAGTAGGTGAAAGCAGTTCCATATAAATAAAAAATTCATCAATTTCAAAACAAAAAGAAAGCCCAAAATGATAAAACCTATTGCTGGACTTCAGGCTCAGTAGCTAGCATGTGGATTCGTGCATAAACAAAACCAAAGCCAGAGTTTGCCCCGGTAAAATCTGATAGTCATTCCTCTTTATAATGATGCTCAAGTTCTTGCTAAGAATCAATAGAAAATGATAGTAGTAAGATACAGCAAATGAAGTTAAAGGGAAGATGGTGAAGGCAATAATAGAAAGATGAGGTTTGTCTTTGATTACTCTGATGAAGATGATGAGGACAACGTTGCACTGAGTTTAGCCTCACAGATCCTCTAAAAAAACAAGTTTATGTTGATCCAAGGACTAAAGATCGGATCTTCAAAGTAAGAACTTGAATTAATATTGATGAACTAAAAGGAAGTGAAACCGAAGTGTAATGCCTCAAAACTAGTACAGAACCTCTTCGTCGATTCCTAACCTTAAGAGCTTAAGTGTAGGGAAATTTAGGGTTTGTGGTAGAGATCTAGATACCAACTTGGATCGTGATATCACTTTCCGAACTGATATTTCTACCTTATGCCTGGGTTACAAGAAATTCAGCCTAGGATAATCCAAGTGGATACTTACGTTTCTAGGCACAGAAAACGTAAGCCTATATGCTAGAGGATTCTGTGAAAGTACGATGAAAAATGAGAGCTTAAGATCGTAACCCTCTTCTGTAGAGGAAGAGCTGTTTATATATTAAACAAGATTAGGGTTTCATTAGGGTTGGGCCGCCATTAGTTGCTTTGGAAGCAAATAATGTTAATCCGGATTTAATGAGGATTTATGGTTACCAAAACTAACGAGTTTCGTTAGTTTTATCATAATCACCCTCAAGAAATTGAATTTTCCACTATGCTCCCATGTGTAAAATTCGGTGAGGTTGTGGGGCTCTGCCAGCCAGGGGCTCTTCCCCTTAGACCCCGCTAGGGGCGCTGCCCCTAGACCCCCCAAAGGGGCGCTGCCCCTTTGGAAACTCCAGACCCGGGGGCGTTGCCCCTGACCCCCGACTAGTCGTCGAACCGGCTTCTAATTCGATCTTATACATGCGTGCACTTCGCAAAACTCCGTACATATATTAGAGTACAAATTATGAAGCCCTTAGCTCACATGTTAGTTCCCAGTTACTTAAAATGACATGGTGACACTAAAATCACCAACATAAAGTAAAACCAAATATTCTTTTCTTGTGTTCAAGACTTTTAATACATGCTTACGGTGTTCAACACACTAACAAAAGGATACAATCATATCACAACCATAATTTCGGTGTACATCATACTAACAAGAGGATACAATCATATCACAACTATACTTTAGTTGCACATCATACCAACAACTATTTGGGATTAAGTTTGAAATAAAAAAAACACTTTATGATAAAAGAGTGTAAAACAAAGTTTTTAAAAAAGTTTTTGGTTATGTTTGAAAATCAAGAACTTGAACCAAAAACGTGAAACAGGGTTTATGGTTATGTTTGGGAATTGAAGTTCACATTTTGGAATTGGAAATGAAGCATAATCCATTCGGATATTGAGCTAGGTGAGTTTAATTCCCATTCAAAAGTGCAAACAATACTTTCTTTGTTAAGCATTTGCTATGGCATGTTGCTTTGTTTATTATAAACCTTACCATACATGCCTAATTAATGTAAGAAAACATTGCAAATGCACATGATATCATTTAGAAGATATTCATATGCATACCTCACACCTATACTTATCCTACCAAAATAACCCAACTTTTCAGGTGCACGTCACACACAAACATCAACAATTTATATCATATAGCAGAAATAAAAATATCACCATTCTTAGTTAATGGCCAACATTCCATAACTTGCACAATATATACCGAGTAGTATTGGAAAAAACAAGTTCCCCACTTTAGAACACACGACCATTCAAGTTTTTTCAAATTAAGCTATTAGTTACTTAAGGAAACGAACAAAATTTTTTACGCAACCAAACAAATGTACCTAATCGAATGACAATATAGGTATCGGTAAGAAACAATAGGTTGTCGAACACTAGGGGAACGAGTATAATCAAATAAAGAAAACTTAATTCTTGATTAAACAGTAAAAAGGTAAAAATTAGGGAATTTGAATCTTCAAACAAAAAGAAAAAGATTTTAGAAATCAAGAGAAACAAGTACTTTCACTTAGATTTAATTCCTTATTAATTATTAGTTATGGTTGATTCAAATACATAAAATTCAATTCCACATGAATTTCGTCCATATATCGAGCACGTTAAAGATATAAAAGGAGATGGAAATTGTGAATTATGGGCTATTGCTCTTTCTCTTGGTTATAGTGAAGATCATTAGCATCAAATTTGGTCAGATTTATACATGCAACTGATTTATACAATGAGCTAATAAGACACCACAGAGAGTACACACTGATTTATTGACATCAAATTCGGTCATAGTGAAGCTTATTGGCATAAGATTTGATCAGATTTATATAGCAGGCTATTGCTCTTTCTCATTGAATTTCGTTCGTCAGGTTTTACGACATCCGAAAATTTGTTGATTATGCCAAGACATTACTTTTATCATTGCTAACATATATGTTGTTATCTTTCATTATCCGATCAAAGAAGGTTCTACAATGTAGTTCCCACTTTTGTATGGCCCACAAGACATCCCAAATCATGAATCTTGTGAGATCGTCCATGTTCACGGTAACCATTATGTGATGGTTGATTTACAACGAGGGCATCCAATGCCTACATTTTTGTCATATTGGCTTATATACAGATCAGAACGTTCATTCGGGAAACATTATATAGTGTTCGACTAAATATTTATGTTCTGCATAATACGCATAATGCATCGTGCAATTGTAATACTCAAACCGTTAGTATATATTCGATGATTAATAAAACAAACTTTTCTTTATTATTATTACTATTATTATTTATAATGTTTTTGTAATAATTATAATAATGATGAATAAATCAAATAAAATTAATAAAAAAAATAACAAAAGACAAAATAGACCAAATAAACAAAAATTAAATGTGTTTTTTTACTTTGTTTATCAAATGAAATTGTGTTTTTTTACCTTGTTTATAAGGTAACACGCCTATTATCTCATTAACTGATGCATCTCACTAATATGTCTAAAGTTATTATTATAAAATTAATGAGGAAGATATTGCTTAACACCTGTGAGCAATAGTAGAACCGAGTAACTGATAAAACATCTAACAAATTAAAAAAAAATCACATTATAGTATAGTGGTAGTTTCCTAACAACAACCTCATTGGACTTCAGGACTTTGAGCGCTTGAAGATTCCTCTCAGAACATTAGTTATGGCAACTAATAACTTCAGCAAAGAGTACGTGATTGCGAAGGGTGGATTTGGGTTGGTGTACAAAGCCCAAAACGAACATGGAATTATTGCAGTAAAGAAGTTGGATCCTAGGTTTGGGCAAGGAGAGCGTGAATTCATGATGGGGATAGCAATGCTTTCAGCTTATACACATAAAAACCTTGTTTCTCTTGTTGGATTTTGCGATGAGGGTGATGAGAAAATTCTTGTTTACAAGTATGAAAGTAATGGGAGCCTTGACCAACATTTATGTAGGAAAGATCTAGCTTGGATCCAACGTCTTCGAATTTGCTTAGATGTTGCCCAAGGGTTAAAGTATCTTTATAATGATATTGGAGCACAATATAGAATTTTACATCGTGATATGAAGAGCTCAAACATCCTATTAGATGAGAATTTCAGAGCTAAGATTTCCGATTTTGGGTTGTCCAAAGTAGCTTGCAAATGTGTCGTGTACGGTTCTTATCTCCAAAGTTTGTGGCACACCGGGATACGTTGATCCAGAATACTATAAACATGGCATTCTCACACAACAATCCGATGTTTACTCTTTTGGGGTGGTGATGTTTGAAGTCTTGTGTGGAAAGCTGGTGGGTGTGTCAAAGCATCTTGATGAGCCATTTTCAGCGGAATTACCTCAAATTTGTTACAAAGAGGGAACCTTAGATGTGATCATTGATTGCGATCTACGAAATCAAATGAACTCGGCTTCCTTGTGTACGTTTTCAGCCATTGCTCATCAATGCTTGAAGTGTCGTGGTCGAGATCGCCCAACAATGACTCTGGTTGTGGAAGAA